CCACAGCAAGAAAAGGGCAACTTCCTTCTCAAGTTAACAAAGTGCAGAGAGGCTGAGTGATGAGGATCAACACAAATCAAACTGATTTATGGCAGGAAGAATCATGTTCTGTTCTCTCAGGAATACCAGCTTCTGGTGATACTTCACAGGAATTAGAGCCAACTGGAACCCTGCAAGTCTGGCTTTCAACTGAGGAAAAGCTACAAAATTTGTTTCTGCATCAGAACAAATGACAGTAATTGTTGCACACACAAATACTGCCCCCAGCACAAAGCTACAGTGCTGCTACCAGAGGTATTATTTATTGAACATAAAAATTGTAAAGATGAAACTGGACAGAAAATACCCTCTCAGCACAGTGCTCAAGTACCTATGGAACCAATGGCTATTCCCCACTTTCTCTTCAACCAAAAATTCTGTTCTACAGCCAAGGATACTGCTTTGAATTTCCATAAATCTAATAAACAAACAGAACAAGGAAACTTGATTCCAGCAGATTAATATCTCCTGATGCAAAACGCTTCGCTGAAATTCCCACAAAACTCTTTAAATGTTCTCCTTTTTTAACACCATCTCAGTATTTGAGACATTTTTCCACCTGAGAGCATCTGGTACAGCATTTCTTGGACTTTGTAACCTTCCCTTGGAAACTATTTCATGGTCCATGATTGTAAAATATGACAAAATTCCATTTTGCATTCCTCTCCACGCATGATGCAGAATGTTAGGTTTGATCATGAGTGATAAACCAGCTCATTTCTAAGCACATTGTTAAAAAAAAAAAATAAATCATTCACTACTGTATTGTAAAACTAGTTACTTCTTAGTAGTTTCCTGAGGAACTGTTCTATCTTACAGAGATAAGGTGGGAAGTAATCAATAACTCCAAGCACAGTGACACAAGCGTCAGTAGATATGTAATTAATCATTTATGAACACTTCTCTTTGAAGGTAAAATTAATGATGCTTCAGTATTTCCCATCACGATGCAACCACCCCTACAAATTGATCACTGAAGCTTATGAATGTGAAGACAATTACAGCATAAAACATCACCAGAGAAAACCCCCAGAACCGCAAAAAGTAGTTACATTTTTAAGTTTATAGATCTTCCTACTCAAAGGCACTTTTTAAGCTTTGTCTCTGTGGGCCCATTCTCTCCAGGCAAGTGCAGGTTTACATTTATTCTGTACAAGGTATCTTACAAAATCATTTTCACAGAGACTCTTAAATAATTGTGATAGCAATTATATGACAAACAGAGCAGGAGGACAACAGTGATGAACCCAGTGCAAAGCCCTACAGCATAAGAAACCATATTTTCATGCCTACCAACAACTCCTCACACACTGGAATTCTGCAGCACAAGCTCGTGCACACAACCAGAAGACTGTTAAAGAGTTTTAAGAGGATACCACAAATTTACAAAAGCTTTAGAAAGTCAGAGTTTATGTTATGGGTGAATTTCCTTTAAAGCTGCATTTGTAGTTTTTTGGATTCCAGTACAAGGTTGCTACTACGTTTGCTGTTGTCAAGAGATTAAAAAAATAAAATAAATGTTGACATTTATTAATTGTTGACATTTATTAAATGTCTCAAGACAGGACAAATCTCTCTATTTAGATTCAGTTTTAATAAAGAATCCACCCAGCTATCTGCTCAATAACATTAACCCACTTGGGTAACAAAAGGTGCACAGCACTTTGTTTAAAAGAAAGACCATGTAAACAAAGTTATTTGCATCTCTGAAGATCCGTAGCATTTTTGTTTCACTATTGAACAACCATTCAGCAGTTTCATTGGTGCAAAACCTAGAAAGAACCCCACAGAGGGGTCAGTTTTGTTCTCCTGACAAAGTTCTCATCTCAGGGAACACACGCTGCTGAAGGGCCTGTTATGAACGGGCTGGTGAGGGAATTTCTCCGCAGCCTCAACACACACAAGTTTTATAATTGAGAGTTATTAAAGGGATTCTTGTTCTCACTTGACTGCACTGACACGTTGCAGGGAACAGAGTTTACATCAGCACCTCAGTGGCCAGAGCTGTGGGTGAGTTAAAGAGCTGAAGTGAGTGATGAGAACCACAGACACCTCAGAACCCACACACCACCTTCAGACTTCCCATCACTGCTTTTAACTATCATCACAACCAAAACACAATGAGATCTATTAACAGACTCTTTTTGGGAGCACTAAAGAAAAAAATTCACTCAGAAGAGTAAAAATATAATGAAGTTATCCATTCATGAAAACACATTTGTTGAAAAATACCTTAAGCATGCAAACTTTACAAAACTCCAGAGGTTCACAGCATCCCAACAGCCACAACCTTTATCTCATCTGAAACTCTGGACAGCACAGCAAAGGAACTGGACTCCAGCAGGAACACCACAGACCAAGGTTTCCACTCAGTCTAATGCCAAGCACAGAGCAAAAGACAGTTTAAGTTTTGGACTATAAAACCCAGAGGGTCAAAACTAAAAGGTTTCTGCAGCTGCAGGGACAATTCACCTTTTGTGCACCCTCCCTCCCACCAGATTGATAAACAACTCCAGGAAGACAACACTCTGCAGCCTCTGCATTTTCTGAATGGAGGCTGCTGTAATTTACTAAAAAACTATCTCATTAAGTGCACAATATGTGCATAATAACAATTATGTGCATAATAAAATATACTGAACTAAATCTAAAGGATCTGTCTAGAGCAGCAAATGAATTTCCAATTGTAACTGTATATAAGGGAAAGAAAAAAATCAAGTTTAAGGAAGCTTAGTCTATTCTTGTCTGTTCTTTCGTCCATTCTTGTAACTTATTGATCCTGAAAATTAAGACATTATCTTTGTGCACTGAATCAACAATACATTTTTTGAAAAGTATAACTGAAAGTTATGGTAAGCCACATTTGACACATTCTAATTGCTTATTGCTCTCCTGCAACTTGCTATTACAAGCCTTTAAGGATACAAAATAAATAATTGCATCATCCTACATCTATCTGCACAGTAATTATTGAGAATTCAAGGATTGAGATAATGCATTCTGTAATTCCCAGTTCTATGGTGGTCTATTCCATAAAATAATAAAACCTATAAAAGAATTGCCATAATGCATAACCTATATTCCTTTGCAAGACTAAGCACATCAAAGTCCCATATCTCCAAAGTGACAGATGCAGGGTGACCAACTTGTTCATTGCTCTCATTTTCCAATTCATTCAGCTTGGAGAAGGTGCCCCTGTGACCAGTTACATGTTTAAACTCAGCAAAAACACGAGCATTCCATATTTAACACATATTCTTTGCACGCCCGATTTTGTGCATTTCTTCCAAAAAATGTAAAGGGAACCAAACATTTTAGTTACTTCACAAAGAAGTGACTAAACACTAAGCATTTTAAACATCATAGCAGCGTCACATACAGACATTTCTTGTATCTCCGTGACTCAGGTGGCAAAACTGATGCTGAAGTGAAGGACTAGAAAAATGCCACCCTGTAAATGGAAGCCCTAGATATCAACCAGCATGATGTAACACTGCACTTGCTCAAGGACAAGTTACTTCAAATACCAAAGCTAATAACTTATCTGCTTAAAAATTCAGCGTACTTGCAGGCAAACCTTGCTTTCAAACAACGACCAGAAAAAAAAAAACAAACATCATCTGACTGGCACTACAAACAGTGGTTTAAAAATATAGCCTTATCAAAGCAAAAAAAGCCTGGTTGGGATGTTTTCCAGCCAACACTAAGATAACAGAAAGCAAAGCTTTCCACCTTTGTTCTAGGTCAGCGTGTGTGAAGTTCACACAGTAGAATTCACAAGAAGAAAGACTGAAAGGAATACCAGTTTCAATCACAAGACCTGTCAGCTTAAGCAAGTACGTATCATGGAAAGCAGTAACAGTATTAAAACTGATTTAAAGAAACCATCCAAGAGTGAAAATGCTCCTCAGTGATCAGTTACTGCCTAGAAGTCAGTAAACAAATAACTAAAACCCACACTGTTTTTCAGTATTGCACCAAAGAAAACCTTTAACCAATCTAGTCTCCAACTACTTGCAGGCACGGGGTTTGTTGTCTAATCATCATTTTCTACCTCCAACTTCTGGCTTCTGTTTCTAAGATTATATTGGCACGGCTGAAGAACCAGTTCTGGAGGAAAATGCCACATTTATTCCTGGACAGCAGACGTCTCAGTGCTTCCTTTCGAGGACTCCCTGAACTTACAGGTTCACCACGAGGTGCTGTTGGTTCAGGAAAGCAACACTAAGAATCACTCCTGGTCTTATCCCAGACTGCCCTCGACTTTCTGTCACGTGGTCAAACATTCGCACGGCTTGACAACTATTTTAAGAAAAAGCTGTGTTTACTGTCACTGAAAACCCAAAGGGTTCCTTAGGGGAAAAACCACTGCTCCGAATTTCTTGCTTCCATGCTAGTTTAGCCAGTTCTCCCACTTCCATCCCACGGTGCAGCGCTTTGTTTGGAAGTTACCCAAGTCAGTGCTTCCAGACATTGCCCTGAGGTTTTACAAGTCCCTGAGCACGGTGGTGCAAAGTTGGTTAAGGTGACATGTACGTGGTTGCTCCCAGATGGCAACGTGAATGTGGAATTGGAATGATCCAATTTTAGTTTTTCCTGCATGTAAAGCTTTAGAAGAGGAAACACCACAAGAGGAGTGGTGCAGTGATGCTAATCAACACTGCATATCCATGTCACCCTTTTAGTTTTCCTGGGATCAAAACTGAAGGATCTGTACTTTAACAGAGAAAACTCAGTAAAGGGAAGCAATATCTGCTTGAACTCAACATGCTTTGGCAGATACTCCTGAGAGGAAACACAAGGCTATGGCACACACAAAAACCAGAAGGTGATTTTGAACCCACATCTGAAATTCTGGCCTGCAAGTGCTGCAGAGTCCAGGAGGAGTCCTGAATCTGAACACACAGAGAGCACAAACATGATCAATACTCAAATTAAATAAATGGCAACATAACTTATACCTTTGTTACCATGCAGAAGTTCTGGTGGCATGGTATTTAAAAAAAAGCCTTTTTTCCTGCTATTTTTCCCATCTTGCTTGTCTCCCTTTCAGGAGCTCTGTAAGAGAAACATCGGGTAGGTAACTGAAGAACAAAAAAAAAAAAAAAAGCCAAACTCAAATAAACCCTGACTGCTCGCTGTGCTTCAGCTGTGGCCTAAAAGGCCCCTTGAGGCTCCCGTGCTGAGCTGAGCCGAGCCCAACATGTTCCCCTGGGGAACTGGCTGTCGTAGACTCCTCTGCTAAACCACCCAGCTGCAAAAGCAATCGGAAAAATACAATAAAATTAGAAAAAGCCCAGCGCCGGGGCTGACAGAGCTGCGCTGACCTGCACCCTCTGCAGGAACAGCGACGTCCTTCAGCCCCCGCTCCCTGCCCGGCCACGAAGAGCCCGAGGGCTGGGAAGGGGGAACCGGGAAGGGCTCAGCACCAGGGATCAGCACCGGGAAGGGGCTCAGCACCGGATGGAGTCACAGCACTGGGAAGGGCTCAGCACCAGGCAGCATCAAAGCACCGGGCAGGATTCAGCACCGGGCAGGATTCAGTACCGGGCACAGCACCCGGCAGGATCACAGCACCTCGATCACAGTACCGGGACCGGGGGGGGGCTCAGCACCCGGTGGAATCACAGCACCGGGGAGGCACTCAGAACCTCACCCCAATACCCTCCACCCTGCTGCTCGACCCTGCGGGGTCCCGCAGCGCCCCAAGACCCCCGGGGGAGTCAAGGCCCCCCCGCCCGCCGCCTCCGCCGCGCTGACAGCGCGCCCCGCGGCCCACCGGGGAGCGACCCCCCCGCGGCCCACTGCGGGCGCTGCCGGGGGCGCGGGAGCCCCGCGGGGAGCGCAGCGCGGCAGCCCCGGCCCTGCCCAGCCCGGCCCGCGGCGTTACCTGAACCAGCCCCGATCCCGGCTCCGCTCCCGCTCCGGCCCCGCCGACACCGAGGCGGAAGTGCGGCCCTGGCGGCGCCGGAGTGACGGGCGGTCCCGCCAATCGCAGGGCGCGGCCGCGCCCCGCCGCGGCGAAGGCGACCAATCGGTTCCAAGTTCCCCGCTGTGAGGCGGGGCGAATGCTAATGAGGCGCGGATCGTCTCCGCCCCGGGCCGCGCCACCGCTGGGGAGAGAGCGGGCCAATGGCACGGCGGGGGGGCGGGCATATGCAGATAGACCGGGATGGCCAAGGAGGCGTGGCTATGCAAATGTTGTGGTACCGGCAGCCCCCGGGGCGCGAGGCCCCCTTACCGGGCGCGATCCGGGGGTCGGTGCGGCCCCTCCTGCACGAACACAACGGTGTAACTACTCTTGCCGGTTGTGTTTTGTGGGAAAATTGTACCCTCAGCCCCTTGCAGAGCAGGAGCTCGGTCACCATAACCTTGCAGTATAATGGGTTGCTCTTTAATGACAGGTGAAAATGGACACATCCTTTCTATCTTTAATTTTTTGTTCAGTATAAGTGGTGTCTCAAGGTTGGGCCCTGTAGCTGCACATGTTCTGATGCATTCTGCTGCTTGATCAGGACTAATATAAATTTAAATGCTATTTTGGGGATTATATAACTTTCAGGCCATCCTTGAGGCATGTCACCTGTAGGCTACAAATGCAACAGTTCGATTTTCAGTTCCTTTCATCGTCCTGGTGTCGTCCTCCATGTCCTGCTACTCTGAGCAGGTAGATGGACACCTCAAAACCCCAGAGAAATGCCCAACAAAGCCGTGTGCTGGTAGCTCACGGGTCAGAGTCACTCCCTGCCCAGAGAGAAGCCAACAGGTGCCTTTCTTTCCCTCGCCCCAAACTTGCACTTGTTCGTGCACAACAGGTGACTGGAGGCAAGCCCGTAATAATCCCCTTCGCCTCAGTCATTACTGGCAGGGTAAAGCAATTGAGGCTGTTTGTAGCTGTTGGTGCAAGTATCAAAACTGTGAGTCAGGAGTTTAAAATGAATTTGATTCATGGCATTTCTCTCTCACGCAACACCTGTTCCGCTCTTTTTATTTACCTGCTCGTTTCTGAGTCTGCGGGGTGTTTGCTTCACGTGCACACAGACTTCTCCCATGAGTGGGGGTCTGGAAATCTTTTCCAATGAAATGTCTGCGTTGTTCTCTTTTTGTACCTGAAAGCTAAGAATTGTTGGAATCAGCAACCACGACCTTAAAAAGGAAAAAAAAAAATTAAAAAATATCACAAAGCATGCACAGGTCAAGATGCTTTAGGAGATCAACCACAGAGATAAAAGCTTCCATCCTGAGGAGCTGGAAACCGACCTGGATGAAGTACAACTCATATCACTAACACAAAACATGGATATAATTGCTGAAGGAGATTTTCTTCTCCTCTTAAGTAGGAAATGATATGGGATGTTGGGAGGGTCCAGCACAAGAGCGAACAAAATCCACTCAGGAATGATAAAGTGGAGCCTGAATAAGGAATGGTAGGGAGTAAAGGAGGGAGATGAGTCACAGAAACATTTATCCTCAAAATTATCTTCTCCTACCGTTGACTCAGTTCTCAATGCAAAGCAAATATAGGGATTAGCACATTAATTCTGTAGCACAGAACTCGTTCATCAGAGGTGGTTTTAAACATGGGAGGATGTTTAAATGGTTTTAGCAAGGGAATGGCTGCAAGGCTGGTGGGGAAAATCATCACAAAACACAAACCACTCCTTTGCTGCACAGCTCTCTCCTACCATCCCGAAATACTTTCCTGGCAAGGAAAGTACTGTTAATTCTGGAGTATTGCTCACCCCTAAATGGGCTGACAGCTCCTGGCCATCAGCCACATGCTGACAGTGTACGAGGCACAAATTAACTCCTTGCTCTGGCACAAACAGAAGGTTTTAAATAAAAATTCCACGGAGAATTTCTCACACATGTTGGGATTGAGGAGTGTTTTGGGGTCAGCACAGCTGTCTCTACGGGTGTCTGTTGGTCCCCTCAATGCAGGTTGTTTCACCCCTGCATTCACCCAGGGGAAGCTACAAGGTAGGTGTTATTGGACACATCTTTAGGGAATACAAACCTTTGGGAGCAGAGGATAATTTGCATATTTCTAAATCTGGATATAAGATTTTTTTTCCCCTGATTTTCCCAGAAAAATTAATTTTTTTTCCAGTGACCCCAAATTCAGCCATCCTGTTTTGGATTGCCCACCATTATAGGCTCGACATGAAGCACAGAAATATTTCTCCTGTGGTTTTTAAGCAAAGGCCCACAAAAAAAAGGTCAGCATGAATTTATATTATTATTTTCTGATTGAGCAGGCCTTTGTCATGACTAAGCAGCTGATCTGGAAGAGTTCTCCAAAAGGATCATGGAAAGAGAAAACCCATGGATTAGATGACTGAGGAATACCAAATTTACGTAGCTGCTTCAGGTCTAAAATCACAAAACCCCAAAATTGGACAGGGAGAAGAATCTAACTCCATATTTGTCTCCTTCCTGTGCTGGCATAGTTACCTTTTAAAGGAGATGGCACAGAAAATTCTGCCTTGCTGGCAAAGTTTTGCAACATTAAAAGTAATTACAAAGGGGGTTTATAGTGGAAAGTATTGAGCAACTGTCTCAGGCATAGGTGTAACCATAAGCTCCACCTATAATAAAGGCAACTGTTTCCCTCCTGTGGAGCAACACCATCTGCTTAGAAAACTGATCCCAACAAACCTTGTCATTGCAGCAGATCCAGGAAAACAAAATTGCAGCAGAAGAAGAAAGGGAAAAATGGAAACCGAAAAATCTAGAGATGCTGATGTAGAGATATTGCAAGGCAATGTGGCACATTACAGCAGAAACACTGATTGTCAGCAGTCAATCAATCACCTGTTGTAAACAGGCAGGGACAAAGGCCTCTTCCCTCCTCCTCCAAATCATCCAGTAGCCAAAGCAGTCACTCAGTCCCAACACGTTCGGGCAAGTGCCATGGGAAGCCCTTTTTAGCCCGTGACTCCTTGCCAGGGAGTTTCAAAACCAAACCCATTTATTTAGCAAGTGCTCCAGCATCTCCAGCTTGATGCTGCATGTCCGTCCTCCACACCACGGAATTCCCAGCACACTGTGCCTTCACAGCCTTTCAGAGACACAGCATTGTCCTCACAGTCCTGTGCCAAATGTGCTTGGAAACACTCCCAGTCCTGCTCACCAACAGCTTCACCTCAGAGGAGCATGGGGCTTGTCCACACTTGAGAGCTAATTTGGATTAAGGGAAGGTGTGAATTAAAAGCAGAGCAGGAATCCCAAAATATCTCTTGCCAAATAAGCCCCAAATTATCAAAACAATTGATTAAATGGCAAGATCAGCACAGCCCACACTGCCTGGTGGGGTGGCTCTGGCTGTCGGGACAGGTACCACCTGACACCCACACTGTGCCCACTTGCAGACGGTGATTTTCACATCTTATTCTCTGCAGCTTCCTTGCTAAATGTGGATTGTGATTATTATGAGATGGCACACCCCCATCACACCGTGCCCCAGGCTGTGCAGACATGGAAGAGAAAGAAACTTTCTGCCTTAAAGGGTTTGCAAGGCTTTCTCTCTTCCCTGTGCTCTGATATGAGTGAGCCAGACACCACTTTGCAAAATGGGAACCATCCAAATCTTCCATAATCCGAACAATAAAGATTTCCTCCTATGGTCTAGCTCACCTCAAAAGACAGGAATTTTGAGTTCTATTGGCAGTGACAGTGTCTTTTGAGCTGCTGGCGCTGAAAGAGGGAAGATACTGTGAAAGAGCTACAGTCAAATACATATATTTAATATAAAAAAAGAGATTAAAGAGCAGACATTGGTAACACTGATAAGGCTATAATGAAAAACACGGTAATGCTGAAACCACATGAATTTTAACCAGAATCTTGAAGAAAAGCAATTCAAGAGAAAAAGGAATTCACAAATAATGAGGAACATGGCAAAAGCTGAATAAGTAGAAATAGCCAGTCTGTTAAAAGGCTGAATAAGCATGTTCTTTGTAAGGGCATGGAAAGGAAAAGACACAACAGCCTGTGTCCTCCGCTCCAGTGATAATTTCCCTGGGAGGTGTACCCATTCAGCTGAGGGCAGTTCAGAGGCTGAGCCACTTCCCTCCAATACAAAGTAAAGTTTTTAAAATCTCTGTGGTCAAAGTTGTGAAAGCTTAAAAACTGAGTGCTGAGAGTACAAGGGCCTTTCCACAGGAAGCCAGAAAGCTTAGTAAAAAACATGCTTTGTCACAAAGTCTAGACGGAATCAGAAAATAACAGAATTGTTAAGGTTGGAAAAGACCTTTAGGATCATCAAATCCAGCCGTCAATCCAGCATCACCACCTTGTTCACCACTAAAACATGTCCTCAAGTGCCATATCCACATATTTTCTGAATGTTCCCCTCTGCTGAATCCTAAATTCCTCTAATTCCAGGTATGACTCCTGGCACTGTAAACTCCCACACCTGGAGCTGAGTAGAGATGAGCAGGAGCTTGTGCTTGGGATAAAAATATTTGGGCCAAACTAGCTCACTTTCATATCTCATATCACCTTCCCTGGGGTGGAAGTCCATGGTCTTCTTGCATATCCATAGCAGGGAAGATGAGGGTGGATCAGCTTTGACTCACAGCTTCAATCCTTCACACACTTGTATAGGATTTGGGAAGCTCCATAGGGGATACCATGGAACCCATCTTTTAGAAACCCCCTCCCAGTGAGGGCTGGCTACCCACGAGCTTCAGCCTGTGCTTCAGGAGCAGATCTGAAGAAACTCTATTTTCCCAGTACCTGTGCACCACCACGCTGCTGCCAGTTGATCTGTCAAACAATCAATGATGCTTTATATCCTAATAGATGTTTATTTGTCCACAAGAATATCTTATTTAGAATTAATTACCACCTCTGGATTTAGCTACGCGTACAGCAGCATGGCAAGTTCCCCTCGTACACTTTGGAGCACACTTGTCTCCAGGGATAGCAGTATTTCTATCAGAGATCAATTCAACAGCTCGTGTGAGGCTTCTTTCTG